TAATATTGTTCCCTTTGGCCTAAAACGCTTTGACATTGGTTAGGAAATCATTTTTAGTACTTCGTTCGACCACGGAAACAATGATTTTACTAAAAATGCAAATTGATCACTTTCAATCTTTCAGCAAAATGTCCTCTGTTTCAGCCACAAATCTCACTGGTACAACATTCTTTAAAATACATTATCTTCATTCTTCTAGTTCATCCAGTTTCTTTCCTTCCAGCCCAATTGCATTGATTTCTACAAAAACCTGTAGTTGTTCCAATCTTACTACTAGTTTTCTTATTATTTTTGATATCTATAATGCAAATGAACCCCGCTCCCATTACCCACTAGGCGTTCCATTCCTCCGTGGTGCATAAATTGGTGCCAGATTTCTATGGGAGGATAGCATCACTGGCTCGATACATCGGTAGGCCACCGCGAGTCATTGTAAAGGCCAGATATGCATTCAGTCACCTCCAACGATGCTTAATGAAGTCGAATGCATGGCACAGCCCTCAGAGATTGACTAACGCCGAGAGCTTTATCCTTTTTGTTCATAATGCAAACAAGTAAATAATTTGAAGAGTTTTTGCAGTAAAATGAACAGAATTTCGAGAGGGCGGTGCATAAATGTTCTATCCCTTATTAGCATTTACTACAACTAATAAAGAATTATGAACTAGAAGTTGCTAACGATATGTATGTTCTAGACTTTTCTTACGCCAAAAAAATTGAGGAAAACTCTTCATAGCTCTCAGAACGATCAGAATTTTATCTTGGTAAGGACCCTATCTCGCAATTGAAAAATTGCAAATTATGAAGATCAGCGGGTAGTGCAGTCGTAATGATGCCGTTCGTTAACAGCACAGTTCTAGTTCGGCCACGCACTGGGGGACGCCAGGCCTGTCATCTTTCCAGTGTCGTGAAAATCCTACTGAATTTGTCTAGGGTCAACACATTTCTCAACTTCATGCAGGAATGTTCTGACACGGCTATCCCAAGACTCAAAGGAGAATCAACTTGACCAGAATTCATCGACGTTGATAAAGGGGACGAAAATCGTCAAGCAGAAGAGTTCACACGCGAAAGATTTGAAGACTTTGAGGGTAATGAATATGAGGAAACGATTCAAGTGCACTTCCTACACTTAAATCCGTATTGTTGTCGTGAAGGAGCGGTTACGTGGCTCGTCTTCACCATTCATGAAAACACCAAAGCACATTTTGCAAACGTTGCTTTACCTCGAATTCGTCATTCACGGAGGTGGTTTGGTTCGAGAATGGGAGCAGATGCGGGTCTCCTACCGTGATTTGCAAATTCAACTACGAGTGCAGCTGATTGACTATAGTTACGAACATCTCTGAGCGACGTGTAGGTGGTCCTCCTAGGACGCACTTGCACCTTGTGGAGTCTACAGTTTTTCTAGTCCATCTGTTCTTCCCATTATACGACAGGCCCATCCATGTTTCGCTAACAATTTGTATTCTCCTAACTCTCGATGAAAGAATAGACTTCGAAGACCAGCGTTTCTCATTCCCGTTAGATGTTGTGTATGTCGGTTACACTTTAGAAGACGCTGTTCAAGCGCTTTGTGAGTCGTGAGCAGCACTCGTGATGTGGTTGAAGTAACTCGAAAAGATGATCGCGAATTTTCAGGTTCTTTAATTGATCGGTGGCCATTTTGAAAAAACCGAATGTGGTTTAGGCTGCTCTCCTTCTTCTGTATACTTCCACCTTCATGTTGTTCACTGATCGCTCAATTTATGTGGTGGTCTTCGAAATCAAAGAGAACCACCCACTTCGATTTGTTCACATTCTCACCATGGGCTTTCCAAGAACTGGGTCTTCTTCCGATCTATGCGTAGTTCGATCTTTTTTCCCGTTTAGCTAAACTAATTGATAATCGTCGGTTCAATTGTACTTCTGAAGAAGACGGCGATTTCATCAGCGCAGGGTGTTTGTGAAGACGGGTAGTTACGTTGACTTAAAGTTGAAAATTGTTATTTCGAATCGCATAACTCCTGTTGAGGTCGCATCGTCATGTAAATGAAAGCCAAAGATCGCCGGCTCCTCATTTCATTTTAGAAAATAGTTAGAACCTCTTGATGTCAATAAATGTCAACCATTCACTCTTAAACCACGCACTTTTCACGCAGCGCTCGACGAAATGACATTGAACGTTTGTTCTGGCCGCAAAAATAACTCCTGGCCTTATTTCTCCTTTTTCTCATGAAGATCTAACGTTGTTCCTTTCAAATAAAGACACGTCAATATTTGTTTTTCATTTCTTATGAAAAAAAAACTAATATGCCTGTAGCCATTTTCTCGATGTCTTTGTTTGCTTGAGGACATTCCAAAAATATTCTTGCCGATCTTTTCAAGCACCGATTAAAATTAGATCACGATAATGCCTTTCTTATTGCCTACTGACGTCGAATAGTACTTGCAGCCTCACGAGGATGCAGGGTGGAACGATTTCCAGGATTCGAAAGCAATTCAAAGTGATTAACAAGATTTCTAATTTGGACGCAGTACTAGATTACGTTTCTCTCACCATAGTAATCACGTTCACGGCTTGGCTATGAAGAAGAAGCGGTCCAGTACTACGTCCAGGACAAGATTAATATCTACTTTTTCTGGATATTTTGTTTTATCTACCGCCAATTAGATAATTCTTTTTCATCATAGAATGGCGTGGACGGCGAAGCAGGAAAGGTGTTGGACGTTCCGCTTCTCGAAAATCCACAAGGAGCAGCGGTACATCGAACGAACCCTTACCGTAGTGCGTGTATGATCACTGCCGCAACCTTTGTCGGCACAACACTGCTAATCACTGCTATCTTCTTCCTATACTGGAGACTCTCAGGTGAAACCAGCGTTCTTTCGTGGAATGATTGAAACGGAATAAAGCCGATGAAGAAAAAACTTTTAAAAAGTTTAAGTTATTTGATAAAATATACGAGTTTTGTCAAAAATCAGATCAATTGAAACTATCACCCGTATCACCTGTTGATTATCGAGTGATTCGAGCGAGCGCTAGTAGTAAACTATCTATTTCTCCCTGTAGCGTCCAAGAGTTGCACAATGGCTACTGCTGGCTTTAGAAACTGGTTCAGCATCTTATCTTTCTTCTAGGATTTGCGTAAGGGAACCCTGATCATCGTTTCAGTGGTTTTCCTGCAGTGCGTTTAACATCCCGAGGAATCCAGTCACTAATGGCCCCTGTCCATCGGTTGTCACTCAGACTGATTACGTGTCTCACCCACCTTATCTTTGACAATTTGGCGAGCAAAACGGCTTCTTTGGTTTCTGGTCGTTGACATAGGTGCGAACTTCGGATCCTATCTTTGACTTACGTGATAAAGAATACTCCTGGCATTTCCCTTTCCATTGCGCATTCAATAACGCCGAGCAATCCTTGGTCCTGCTTACGTGACGACAAAGTTCCTGATGCGTATCTTGCAGGAAAAATCATAGAACCAAAAAGTGGGAACGGAATCGAGTGCTCTTTGTTCTCCTCACTGCATTTTCAATGATCTTGAATGCTTCGCTCGCCACTCACTTTCTATTGCTCAAATCTAGAGCTAAGTCATTCATCATGTTGACTTCCTGACCTAGATAGATGTAGTTGGAGACATTCGAAGATATCCATTCCGGAGTTTGAGAGTGAATGGGGCACACGAAACCTGCTGGATTTGGACGTCCTGGCTGTCCAAAGCTTCCATGACTGCTTCTGAGGCGAAAGCTTTCTAAAAGTCGATCGAAGTGAGACAGAACGGTCACTTTTCACACTAGTTCGGTGACCGTTGTTATCATGTGCGTGTGGTCCGTTGGACTGAATCCTTTTCAAAACTGTATTTGCTCACATGGCTGTCCTTCCTCTCCTGTTCTATCAATTCTGTTTAGGGTGACTTGAGTGAAAAGCTTGCAGGCGGCAGATATCAAATAGATTGAGCGATGATTTTCAATATCGTGGAGGTCACCTTTTTAAAAAAGCACGATCTTGCCGCTTCTCCATTGAGGAGGAATTCCGCATTGTTACAGGTAACTTGTGAAAAGCTAGTGTGTTTACGAAGACTGGCGGAAAGTCTCTTAGATGCTCTAATATTACCCTGTCCGGATCTGGTGCTGTACCATTTTCCACCGAGAAAATGGTATGTCGGATTTTGGAACGGAGAACCGATGGTACAACAAATCCATCCTCCTTTATTTCATACGATGGAAGGTGAACGTGGCTATCGGAGAGATCTGAGTAGTATTCGTGAATGATTTTCTCCATTGCCTTTCTGGAAGCTGTAACTGTTCCGTCTGGGCAACGGAGTGCAATCATCTTGGTCTAGGAATTGGCGAAGATTTGGTGGGCTTTGTAAATGCTCTTCCCAGCCGCTGCAGCTTCGACCATAACTATTGCTCTTCTCTTTTCAACATCTTTTATCGCCTGTCTGCATTGTCTTGCAAGTTCGGACGTGAGTTTGCGCTTACCTGCAACTCGTACGTTTTCGCACAGGCGTATCAGCTTCGGTATCTCTGAGGGTAGGCGTCTCTTGGTGATTTGCTAGCTCTCAGCTTTCATAGCGCTAATATGAAGATGTTGGATCAACCAATCATATTCCTCGTCGATGTTATCAAGAAGTGAATCTTTCCAACAGCGGACTAATGTACTGAATAAATTCCAGTTTCTGTTGGCTTAAGAATTTCATTTTTTGAAATTAGCAGCTTTCTCTCTTATCCGGGTGAAATGGAATCTTGCATAAAGAAGGTAGGTGAAGGTGTCTGATCCCGCTTTTACGCTTGTGTTTATAAAAATTGGAAAATAAGTTTGAAAAGCAGGGAATTTTTTGAGTTTGGTTCCTTTTTTAAATGGCCCTCAAACGAGCATAGGGTGAGTCCTTGAATTATTCTTAAACAAGGCTTTGTTACCTTGTTCTACTTAACTCGGGTTTAAACAGAAGTTTCCCAGTTCAGATTGTGCCACTCAACAGTGTGTGCTCACAGCAGCTCTCGTTCTTTCGAAAATGGATCCGACTATTGATCCATGTGTCGATTTTTACAATTACGCTTGTGGAAAGTGGATCAATAACTCGGTGAACCTCAACTATCCATCATGGAACGTACTCTATGAGACAAACATGAAAGCGCATGACAAGATCGTCAATGTTATTTTAAAGGGTTCGTTAGAGCTCTTTCATTTTGTTTCTACTTTAAGCTGATTATTGTACTATATCAAAACTAAGTATTTCAGTTGCTCTTTCCATTTAAAACAAAATGCATTACCTTGCAGATAAGCAATGTTGCTACATAAATCATACTTTACTCCACTGCTCTAAAGCTAAGGGTGCGCGTGGCGCAGTGGTCGGAGGCGCATTTCAGCACACATGACATCGATCTTCGCGTCCATGGCCCACTAAGGTTTCTATCCCTCCGGGGTTGGTAAATTTCTACCAGACTTGTCTGGAGGGATAGCAGCACTGGTTCGACAAATCGGTAGGCCACCGCAGGTTATTGCAAGGGGCATATATGCATTCAGTCACCTCCAAACGATGATTAATGAAGTCGAATACATGGTGATTCCCTCAGGGATTGATCAACGCCAAGAGCGTTATCCTTTATGATCTACTTTAAAGCTAAATAAGTCATGAATTTTGAATCGTATTGATTTTTCAGTAATAAATGGTGACTCATCGATTCCTCTAAATCGAGGTGAGCGAGCCGCAGTTGAACTGTTTAATCAGTGCACCGACATGAACAAGTTGCGCACAATAGGTCTGAACACGTGGCTTCGATTTGTCGAGGTAGACATGTTCTATTAACTTATCCAGCTGGCAAAAATTGTAATTTTCTTATTGTTTTATATATTTATATCTATCGTGCGGATTCCAACGCGTCTTTTATTCGATTCCTTTCTCGCACCCATCATCAATGAGAGTCTTAAGAGTTTTGGGTTAGTTCGGCTGCAACTTGATCTTCTTCATTTCATGAATCTCTGGTCGCCCGCGTTTTCTCAATATTTTCAAGTCACGTTCAAACAAAATTCGAAATGGGGCGCATGGCGTCATGGTGGTGAATGTAATGTATTACTGGCTCGTCTCCCTTGCAGTTCATAGAGCCCTAACTCCCATCCGCCCTTCACTCTTCCGTCCGTTTGCATTCATTCATGGTCAGTAAAAATTTGCATTTAGTAAGAAATGGACTGGTATGTGTTTTATTGTTTACAAACGAATCTGCTTTCTGACATCAGACATGAGGTATTTGGCGACTCGGCCCACTCTCTCCAATCGGTAAAAGCTGGTGATTGCTTCAGATGAATACCTACGAACATCCTAGCACTGTCGTCCCAGGGATGCAAACAGAATCAACTGAACCGACATTAAAGAAAATTCAAAAAGAAGATTATAAATACTCAAGCAGCAGTTGAGCCTACGCCCAAAAATCCAAAGACTTTCGTGGATGATGGAATGGAGGAAATAAATAGAGCGCCAGTGGTGAGATCCAATCGTTAAGAGATGTCGGGTGAAAGGGGGAGCCCAGGCTATAGAGAGAAGCTTAAAAGTTTTGACAGTTCAGGAATTATTTCTCAAAAATGAGCAAATTGGCATTAGAGAGCAACTGGCAGCAAGCCTTGTCATTAGCTAAATGTCTAAGGTGGAGGGACCAGTAATCGATCTCCTGCCATTACTCTATTGTAGATATGTAGATTATTGTTTTGTCATCTCCCTCACACGAGAGAAAATGGGCAAGTGCTCTGAGTTGTCGGAACAACAGTCAAGGTGCACCTACCAATAAGAAGCTGATAATTACTGGCTACCATTCTGAATGACCAAATTAACCCATCTAAAAGCCGTTCGCTAAAAGGCACCGGGGACCAGCTAACAAAAACGTACTGGTTCACTATCTCTCCACAACCCTTCACGTACAAAAAAGACACTTGTGAGAAATGTGTTTCGAACACCCGCCAATTTGTGAACAGGAAGAGAGCAGAAGAGTGAATCTTCGAAATTGGAGTGGCCAATACCTGCTTCCGAAAGCTGCGAAAGTGCTGCTTCTCGGGATGAGTCCGGAGGAAAACCAGGTCCCCAAACGATAAGTAAAGCGAAAATAGAGTGGTCTTTATGCTGATCTTGATTTCCAACGAAATAGATACAACTGTAAAACGTCGCTTGAAGAAAGGGCTCGTCTAAAAAGTTCGGTAACATTGGTTGAGCTGCCAGTGAACACTTTCAGACGCCAGGTAGTTCGCAACCGCCTAAATGACTGTCTAGGCACAAAGGATAATTCCATAATATGTTCTAACTGTGGAGATGGTGATTGTATGAGTTCGGCTATGGTTTATCTGACTTCCCGTAAGGTGTGTTGGAAAAGAAAAAACTCAAGTTACAACAATTTTGTTACTTGATAGTCAGCTCTGATTTTGCTGCTGTTCACTTTTCCATTGGTTCCATGACATAATAGAGACTACATCTGAATTCATGCTTACTATCTAGTGGAACTGCTTTTCAGGAGCTCGGTGGTTGGATGAGGGAGCTGAAGCAAGACGTCCCATCCGTCCCACTTCATTTGTCCATACTGAACGCTTACAACTACACTGTTTTTCCTCTCTTCGGAGTTGATGTCGACGTTAACTACTTTGACTCAAAAACCCATATTATCACTGTCAGTTCTTTTTTATTTCTTTTTCGAGAGCACGTTATATATAAAACATTTCACCGAAGGGCTGCAAAGGAAATTATTCTATGGGGATCACGACTTTCTGGACAATAAAATTACCGTGTTTGATGTAGCCACAACTACGACTAGTCGCCGACTACTGTGGAGCGGAATTAGGATTACATCCGAGCGTCTTGGTTTCTTCCAAGATGTCAGCGAATCCCTGCTTTAGCTCACTCTTTCCTATACTATCGGAAGTAAATGTAGAACTTTTCCGCGTAGATGATTCTTCTGAGAAGTGAACTCATTGCTGTTCATCGCAGTCCAATATCCAAACATTTCGTACCCAGTTGTATAGACGGTAGAGCAAGGAAGGGTAAGAATATAATTTGCTCGAAATTGCGTTTCTTTACAGAAACAAGAGAAAATTTCGGAGAGTTCTGTTCTGAGAACGTCAGTCATCTAACTACAATAGCATAGTCAGAACAAAGGAAGAGTTTCCATTTTCAACAAGATGTTCGAAAATTGTCTGACAGTTTGCTTTATTTTTCTCCTGTTAGGAAGAATTCTGCTAAGAACATTAAATTTTACAATCTTAACCGTTTTATTTACTGCCTACTCTTTTTAATGGCAGGGTATATTGCGAAATATAACTTTAATGATGCTGAGATATTGGCAAAACACCGGACCGCAGGTGTCAGCGGTAGGGAACGAACGCGCTGTTGTCTTATTAGGCAGTAAACAAAAAGGTTAAGATTTTGATTATAACTACAACCTCAGCTTAACTGGGTTCATGTCGATTTCGGCTCCCCAGATCAATTCCGTTGACAGGTGATTGCTGACGGCAAAAGATCGATAGAACTAGCTGAGAGACAAGGGAAGTGAAGGACCCGCATGGTGTGATGGTGAACACGTTATTCCCGGAAAGGACAATAGCGCGTTCGTTCTCCACCGCAGACACCTGCGATCCGGAGTTTTGCCAATATCTCAGCATCATTGAAATTAAATTTTGCAGTAGTAAGAGACGAATAGGTTAATATTTGTTTGAAATTATAGTAAAAGCATTGCATGAGTTAGATGAGAATTGTTTCATAAGAATCCGTCCGTGAGAAATGGCACTGTTTCAACTAAAGATTTTTCCTCAAGATTTATGAACAACTTCCATTGCTGCTCAATCCAAGCCTCTACCAGTCGAAAGTGCCAGTTACAGCGGAGATGATCCTAAATAAACAAGGACCTGAGGTTTGCCTTGTCGTTTCTGTCATATAGAAATCATGTTGCCTTTTGCTTTCCTACTTTTAAATAGTTTTCTTTCTTGGACGGCACAACGATAAATAACAGTTTCGCAATGCTTAGGTGACTTCACTACTTCAAGAAACTGGTGAGGAAATGGCTACTCTGCTAGGGTTCGATCGCAACTCTCTAGCTGTTCGAGAGATGATTTCGAAGATGATCGAGTTAGAGTGGATGATTACGACCACTGGTGCCAGGGTGAGCTATAGTTTAAGAAACGGTTTCACACAATCGCTAATGGAACAAGTAGTTCTTCACCGGATTCTATTTCTGGTTCCCAGTTTCAGAAACCAGTAGACGTTTGTGCATACAATTGTCAGCAGCCAAGACGGTATACCGCCGTTGATAAGTTTGAATAGGAACCTCCATAATAAGAAAGTTTTTGACAAGTCGTACAAACTTAGAAAATGTTAACAGGCTTTTTTCTAAAAAGGAAAGAACTAACAAATTTTTCGGCTTCCTTAAATTTGAACGCCCCAGGTCTCCTGTGAATGTGATGGAAGAGTGATGGCACCTCCCAATGAGTTTGAGTATATCTGTGAATTATACACGAGATTCTAGAGCTAGAAAATATGTATACCTGTACTATACACTTATTGAATATTTGCACCTTTAATTATCGAGGGACTGAAACATAGTTTATTTGGTTCACGAATTGTTTGTGTTAGAGTTTGGTAACTGTCTGAAATGCCTTTCAGCAATATTCACACGGAAACGAAGATTACGAAGTTGTTTCCATAGCAGAATTACAGGCGATAGCACCTGTGGTGGGTGAACTTTTTTAGAAAAAATATTCCGTTAAGCAGTTATTAAAGGAGATATTTTCAGCTGAACTGGAAATTTTTCCTGTCGTCCTTGATCGGCGAACCGATTCGTTCTGATGAGAAGATAGCGTTAAAGGGAGGAAAGGAATGGTTGGCGAAATTCGCACGAATCTTACTCGAGTACATGAAGAGCGAAGAGCGACTTTCTGTGGTACGCAACTACATCAAATGGAAGACGCTTTTCTTCCATTTAGCTTATGTGAAGCCTAAATGTCGGAATGGATACCTATGGGTTAGTTCCAAAACTTTTCAATGATTCTTCTACGAAATTCTTTTTTTCTCTATACTACAATCTCGATGAGATCAAGCCGTTGAAAAGTTGAGGCTTAACTAAGAAAAATCGGAAGATGTAAGAAGTAGTTACACAAATAAAGGGGCAGGTAATCCTGTGGTATTGAAGGCGACCATCACGAAGACGGTGTTGGTTCGACCACGCCAGCGCTGGGGTCACTAAGTCTCTCATTTTTCTAGGGTTGGGTGGCTAGTGCCAGAATTGTCTGGGAAAAGTTTGCACTCTGGAATCCAAGGATGAGCGCTCCAGCTCGGTTATCTCAGCACTGCAAAAAGAATCGACTCGACCAACATCCAGCGACATTCATGAGAAGGAAATTCCTCAAGAAGCAGTCGAACCCACGTGCGAAAGTTCGAAGACCATTGTGGATGAAGGATACGAGAGAACGTATCGAGTGCAGAGTATTAGGTTCCGCGCAGTAGATGCGAAGAGCGGGTCGTTTGAAAAAATAACACACGTAAATTTCAGAAAAAGTTTTCGAAGTTAGATTTTGTGACCCACGACGTAACGCGATTTTTAAACAACAATTTGATGATTAGTGAGTCTTCTTCAGAGTGTTGTCGAAATATATTCTGGTCCTCCTCATCTTCGCAAGGAATTCTGCATAATGCGGGCATCTGGGATTTTCCCACTCTCGTTGCCATCTGTTCTCAGGAAAATTGACGGAACGGAGAGAGCAAGAGAGGTTATTATTTCTTTAATTGTTTTTTAGTGTAATCCTTCTTATTAATGCTTCAGAGTAGAACCTTTGTGAAAAACATTTCTCGACACATTATGGACGCATACCGCGAAACGCTGGAATCAAGCCGAATACTTGACAATTTCACAGCTCCCATCGCACTTCAGAAGGTGAAATTTTCATTGTTCCGACGTTTTAAAAAAGTATTCATGCGATTTTCAGCTGTCGAACCTCTCTATCCTCGTCAGTTATCCTGACAAAATGGATGACGAAAGAGCAATGGAAATCGAAGGCGATCGTGTTGGTGACCTAAGTTTTCCAAAGGCAATAGAATGGCATTGTCACGGTTTGGGGTGTACCATAAAAGCAGACTTCAGTCAGTACGAAAAATTTTAGCCCACTACTGCGTCTACATTTGATTGCCTTTCATTTACCTTCACACATGAGTCACGCAAACAGTACAATCACACTTTTCGCCTACAGATATCTACGGAGCTCTTTTGGTCAATGGTTTTTGGTGCCGGTGCCGTCTATAGAGAGAAGATAGAAAAGCTGAGAAAGCCTGTCGATCCAAGGTACATATTAGATTAATAATTGCAAAGGAAACTGTTGGAGGTCTGGTACTTCGTAGAGGAAAATAACATAAAACATACTTGCTTTGCTACTTAGATATCTGAATAATCCGTCCTTACCAAGAATTTTTTGATGTACCCTATGCTTCCATTTGCCATAAATTTTGTTGGTAGTGCGCAAAATCACTTTCTTGCATCGTTTTGTTGTTCAGCAATCGTGAGGTTTTTAAACAGCATACATTTACTTCCATAGAGAAACACAATACAACACAACATTAGTTGACGTTTCGGTAGTAACGACTTCTTCAGAGCCTGGAAGGGTGTAATGATATACAATCTACTAGGCCAAACGCTTCAATGACACTTACAAAAAGACGAAAAACTCTATGGTAATTACACGATCAACAACTTCTCGAAAAACCCACCGCTTTTTCGTGACTTCCAATGAGGAAGTTTAGAACAGCTGATTATAGTCGCATGTGGTTGACGACTGCACCATCCCACATCAAAAATCAATGCGAATGTACGGGATCAGGTCGCGTATGACCTCCGGGCATTCATCCCTGCTATTCATTGTGGGGTTTTTGGCATTTATCCGAAAAGCCTCAAGGAGTTTTCGCACTGGTGTTTTAGTCTCCTGTGCAAGGATATTGACTTTGACTTCAAAATCATTTCCGCTATGCTTTTGTATCCTAGGCGCACCTAGTGGGGTACTTCGTCTTAGTTTTCGTTTGCCATTTAGGTGTTCCTTTATGCGGATACACAAAGGTGTGTCCGTTTCGCCAATATATTCATCTCCGCAATTATAACAAGAGATCAGGTATATCGTACCTGAACTCATGCAATCACCGTCCCTGCCGTAACGGCAAATTACGTAATTTGTGCGAAGTAAAGTGCGAAATAACCGATGATTTTAAACCCTCAGCCTTTGCCACACTGACCCATTGGTTGTTTAGCTTTCGGTATTGACTTTTATATTCCTTTTCAGAGGGTGGGCGATAGTGGGTAGCATCACTAAGATGTTTCTCTGTTCTGAGCGACGCGCCCACACGAAACACTTAGCCAAAAGAAAGTCCCGTTTATGTTGCCTTTTATAAACGATGAAGTAGGCGTAGCTATTAAACTATACCTAAAAACAGAAGGTCTAGAAGAATCGGTAGCGATAGTTGAAATACCACCGGCTACTCTACGTCGTCAATAAGTTCGTAACCGCCTGTATGACGGTCTATGTGAATTTCGTAATTTGCCCTTACGGCAAGTACGGTGATTGCATGAGTTCAGGTACGATATACCTGATCTCTTGTAATAATTGCGAAGATGAATATATTGGCGAAACGGACAGACCTTTGTGTATCCGTATAAAAGAACACCTAGATGGCAAACGAAAACTAAGTCAAAGTATCCCACTAGGCACGCATAGGATACAAACGCATAGCGGAAATGATTTTGAAGTAAAAGACAATACCTTTGCACAGGAGACTAAAACACCAGCGCGAAAACTCTTTGAGGCTTTTTAGATAAATGCCAAAAACCCTACAATGAATAGCAGGGATAAATGCCCAGAGGTTATACGCCACCTGACCCCGTATGTTCTCGTCAATTTCTGATGTGGTATGGTGCAGTCGTCAACCACATGCGACTATAATCAGCTGTTCTACTCTTCCTCATTGGAAGTCGCGTAAAAAGCGGTGAGTTTTTTGAGAAACTGTTGATCATTTAATTACCATAGAATTTTTCGTCTTCCTGTAAGTGTTATTGAAGCGTTTGGCCTAGTAGATTGTATATCAGTGTACCCTTACAGGCTCTGATGAAGGCGATACTGCCGAAACGTCAGCTAGCGTTGTATTGTATTGTTTTTCCATCGAAGTAAATGTATGCTGTTTACAAACCTCGCGATTGCTAAGCAAGAAAACGACGCATTCATATTCCAACGCAGAGGTTAATAGAAAGTCGATCCTGGGAACTATTACACTTTCTTGCAGTTCTAAGAGTGCCTATGCTGCCCAGGCTATTCACCGAAAATGGTCTGCTAGCCCTGCGGAACAGAGGTTGCCCAGGTGTTCTATTATTGGGTTTAGTTAGGATCAACGGTGATTATTAGGACGTTTTTCCCTGGCTTAATTAACGGAAATTTCGATCTCCTTCCAAGCTACTGTATACCTACAGTTGGCTTCCTGGGTTCGCCACTTTACCACCTTGGAGCGACAAGTCGTTTTGCGAATATCAATGTTATTAGAGAAGAACCATCTTGGTATTGACAGTAACTACCTGAGCAATTTTGACTGCACAGTGTCCATATCCTTAACCGTTATCTTTTCCTTTAATAACTACCTAGGATCTTCCTTTGTTTCCAACCTTTTCCATTGCCGCATCCTCGTAGGTTAAATGACATCTAGTAGCTGCAATATATCATCAAAGAATGAATCTCGAGTTATCCCAGAATGTTAAGCACAGCGTTCATGCTGATTCTCGAAGTCCCATTTGCTTTGTTACACTTCCTTTCTTCCTTCATAAACAAGTTTGTACCTAGTTGAAGGAAGTGCTATTGATTGATAGTGTAAGCGACTTATTGTTTCTTAAGCGTGTAACGTGATCATAATGTTTGGTTGAATTGCATAAAATTAAGCAGAGAGAATGCAATCGCTTCTGCAAAAGAAAAGCAGTTTCATGTCAACAGGGCAGACTTATTATATTCTAAGTGAATTAATACCACAACAACAACGATGCTAAAATATTTGCAAGATCTGGACCTTGGGTCAGATCAAACCACCATTTCCCTCACTGGGGGCTTGCTCATTATACAATGCGCCGTGGAGACCTTTGACCTCGTTTCTCTCAGTTAGTTTTCTACTTCAACTGCCATCAGCAATAATCCGTCAGCGGGATTGATCTGGGTAGCACAAATCGGCACTGAAGACAGTTAAGCTGAAGCTGTAGTCGAAATCACAATGTTAACCTTTTACTTTCTGCCTACTATAATTCTTCAAGGCAGCGTATGATGTATGGTTAGGTAGAAAACCGGCCCCGAGAGAAACGCAATACAGTGGACTTCATGTTGCAGTGTGTAATGCGAGAGCTTCCGGACGGAAAGAGAAATGGTGGTTCGATTTGGCCAGGTGTCCAACCTTTGCCAATATCTCAGCATCGTTATAGGTATAATTCACATCAGACTTTGTCGTGAAAAATTATAGTAGGCAGAAAATAAGAGGTTAACATTGTGAGTTGGAATTCGTCGTTTTCTCTCTCAGCAATCGCGAGCTTGTTAAACAGCACGTTTACTTCCATACAATAACACACATACAACACAATCGTAGCTGACGGTTCGGCAGAGTCGCCTTCTTCAGAGCCTGGAAGGGTACACTAATACGCAACTCACCAGGTCAAACGCTTCAACAGCACAAACAGAAAGATGAAAATCTGAATGGTAATTACAAGATCTGCGGCTTCTCGAAAAAATCCACCGCTTTTTTCACCTGCCTTCCACCGAGGAAGAACAGCCGCTCAGAGTCGCATATAGTTGACTTTGACATAAGAGCAACGTTCTGAAAAACGTTCTAGGGAAAGAAGATGGCGATAATGCCGCCGCCTCTTGATTTTCAGCTGTTTTTGGTATTCCTTTATGTATCCGCATAAAAGAGCACGTAGATGGTAAACGAATATCAAAACAAGGCATACCACTAGGCACGCCTGGGACAGAAAAACATAGCGGTGAAGATTTTGATGTAAAAGTCGGTATCCTTGCACGGAATCCTGAAACACCAACGCGCAAACTCCTCGAGGTTTTTTGGATAAGTGCCAAAAAACCTGCAATGAAGAGCAGGGAGGAATGCCCCGAGATCACGCGTGATCTCGCCCCTTACCTTCGCATCGGTCGTTGATGTGGGGTGGTTCAGTCGTCAACCACATGCGACTCTGAGCGGCTCTTCTTCCTCGGTGGAAGACAGGTAAAAAAAGCGGTAGGTTTTTTCGAGAAGCTGTAGATCTTGTAATTACCGTTCAGATTTTCATCTTTCTGTTTGTGCTGTTGAAGCGTTTGATCAAGTTGAGTACTAGTGTACTCTTCCACGCTCTGAAGAAGGCGGTTCTGCCGAAACATCAGCTACAATTGTGTTGTATGTGTGTTATTGCATGGAAGTAAGCGTACGCTATTTAACAACCTCGCGATTGCTGAACAAGAAAACGACGGATTCATAATCCAATGCCGAGGTTAATAGAAAGTCGGTCCTGGGTACTATTGTGAATCGGTATTATTTTCTATAACTTCACAAATACGGGAGATAATTTCGAGCAAGAAGCTTGTCGTCGTAAAAACTTTAAATCTTATTCTAAAAAAAAAAATCTAAATCTTAAATCTTAAATCTTTAAATCTTAAATTATTTGGGATACTCTTTCATTGAAGAATACAGCTTACATGGATAGGTGTTGCTTAATATGAAGGTGAGGCAGGATGATGTCATCCAATTTGTCTTAGGGTAGTCATCGTATTATTTTCAATGCCCCAGTCGGCATCACCAGGATTATGTAGGAAATTTGAAAATCCACCGTCATCAATCACTTCTATTTTCATATTTGCTGGTTAGGACAAAATCAAATCTTCTTCAATGATGCTGAGATATTCACAAAACTCCGGACCACAGATGCTTTCGGTTGGTGGGGAGCGAACCCGCAATTATCCTTTCCCGGAGCTAACGCTTTCACCGCCACACTATGCGGGTTCTTGGTTTCGCCTCTCTCTCAGCTAGTTCTATCTACCAGTGCCATCGGCAATCAAACATCAACGGGATTGATTTTTATTTGATTTTGTGTTCTCTTCTGTGTCTTCCTGCGTACTTGTTTCGGCGGGTTTTTGCATGTTTCTGTTCGTTTGTTTTCGCTTGTTTCTGTGTGTTTGTGTGTATGTGATTTTGATCTGATTAATTTTGATCAATTCCGTTGAAAGGTGATTGCTGATGGCACTCATCGATAGAAAATTAGCCCATAGGCATGCGAAACGAAGAACCCGCATGGTGTGGTGGTGAACACGTTGACCCCCAGAAAAAGTAATAGCGTGTTCTTTCCCCGCCGCAGACACCTGCGGTCCGGAGTTCTGTAATTCTCATATGTATATATATATATAATATATATATATATATTAAACGATTATATATATGTTAAACGATTATATATATATATATATATATATATATATATATACATTAAACCAAACGATAACGATTATATATATATATTAAATATATATATATAATCGTTGATATGTATCATATAATATCTCAACATCGATGTGATCGTAGCTCACATGGCGCCTTACTGTGAAAAATTGTAGTAGGCAGTAAAGAAATGCGTTAACGTTGTGACTTAGACTTTAATTCGCTAACAAGGGGACGTATTTATGAAAACCATTTTTGATTCAGAGCCTGGGTAGACTCAAGACCAGCGCTCTCCTCGACCCCGATTCACAACTACGAAAGAAACCTGGTCCAATTGCCGTACGACATTGTAAGCTCACCATTTGCCGACATCGATTTACTTGAGTGAGTCCAACAACTCCTATACAAGTGTAGCTATAGGGACTCTTATTCTATTCTATTCTAGTTGATTATATCACAGTTCCGAGAGATGAATCCACTGCAATTGATATATAAATAAAATAGCAAAACGGAAATAGCATTAGAGAAAAAACAAAAGTTAAAGATAGCGGCTCTGTTTAGTTGCTTCGAGATGCAGCTGCTTTCTTTTTAATTGCTTAGAACGGCTAAGGATTTCCTTGTGTTCCAGATGTCGAACGACCATTAGTATGCATGCTATTAACGCCACGATAATTGTGCAATAACCGCCACGGTTAAATAACTGGTGAAAATACCAAATCTATCGGACTTTATAGTTTCTTGAACTGTTGATTTCAGTGTAGTCAGTTTTGCATCCATGGGAACCATCATTGGACACGAGATCACCCACGCGTTTGACGAACAAGGTAGAGTGGTTAATTTCTGGAATTTTTTGTCGAACAATGATAGCTCCAAGATCGACAGCGTTTTTACTTAAAGTCGAAATCGTTTATTAAAATATTTGATAATCAAATATTGGCACGGGTAGTGCGATTGTAGTAGTGCGGTCTTCTACGCTCAAGGCTCTACTCGACCAGCATTCAAGGACATCCCTAATAACAGCCAAAATCCTCAAGCAATGGTCGAACCTAGAGGTGTACTCTGACTTTTCATTCAGTAACTCCAAGCATTTCTCCATTTCCTCTTGTGTTGAGCAAATGGCAAAGCAGTCATCTGTATATCTACAATAGATTAATGACAGGAGGTCAGTTATTGGGGGCTTCCACCTTAAACATAAATGCAGCGGCAAGGCTTGGTGCCAGTCGCCGTCCCATTTCCAGCACTCTCACTTGTGCGTTACATTTTTTGGACCATCTGATGATTGAGCAATGTAGGCACTCCTTCAGGAGCGCTATTAACTAGCGAATCGTGAACTTGTTTAAATAGTTCGAGGATGCCTTGTATACCGGAGTATTTCGATACTTTTGTATAATGGGCGATAACGTCAAAGAATTCCATCACGTACGCGTTGTTAAGGTGAGCATTACGTAGACGATCCAGGAACATCTAGGTGTTCGTTAGATGGACTGAAATGTGTTTTAACAACTGGGTAAGTGCTAGGGTTATAGCCCACCTTATACTATCCGTTAGCCACATACACACCTATTGATAGATCTAGCCTTGAATAACGATACATCAGTAGAGACACAGTCATCACTGAATACTAACTTAGGAGTTTTGACAAGTACAAGACGTGAGAGATAACTGATGGTTTCAACCCAGTTGCTTTGGCCATTTTAACCCAATCGTTGGTTAATTTGCGCTATTCACTTTTAAATTCCTTCCCAGACGATGGACAATAAACGGAAGCGTCTCTAAAATGCTTTTTTCGTTTTCTCAAGATCTAACCAATATCTAAATAATTAGACTTTTTGGCGTTCACACAATGTGCTGGCTCTTTGTGCAGTCTTGTCATATACACAGTCTGGGAAAGAGTTCCGTGATCTGTAAAGAGCGAAGTATTTTTTAGAAAAGACCAAGTGATAAGTATGTGGAGGTAGTCGTCGGGCGTGGCAGTAGTAAAACTACGTCTCACGGATTTCACTCATCGAATGATTTCCAGCCGGTTAGTGACCAGCAGTCTACATCGCGCGTTACCATGTGACGTATATAGGTTAAACATGGACCAAGGGCGCTGCTTTAAAAAGGAGGTAAATTGAGCAGAGCACCGTTTTGCTATGCCAGATTGATATTTAAATGGATATAGTCATGCATGCGTGCACAGGTGTATTCGTGTATCTATATTATATTCTACAAGTCTATTAGGCCAGAAGCCTACAATCTATTGCTTCGACGTGAAACGGATGTGGTTCGAAGTGGTAACTAAAGCGATGGCGCGCGTGTAGTGCAGTGGTTAAAAGGGCTCTACAATACACACGAGGATGTCGGTTCGGTTTGATCCAGCGTTCTGGTACATCAAGTGTTCCACTATTCTAAAAACGGTAAACTAGTCATCGGTAGGCCACAGCAAGTATTGTATAGGTGAGATATGCATTCAGTCACCTCTGACGATGCTCGTTAAAGTCGAACGTATGCCACATCCCATAAAGATTGACAGATGCCGATCGCTTTATCTTTTTATCCTTCATTTATTGCGACCTCTTTGATTTGCTTTGGGAACATAATAAGTTGGACAACAATATGATTTCTACAGTTTTTACTTCTTTCAAGAAAATGCTCCTGTTGCAGAAAAATTTGCACTCGACCACTTGTAGAGCCTACCGTCTAAGCCTACTGTCTGTCTTCATCGAAAAAATTGCACTGTTTTGCATTTTGTAGCTCTCAGAACGCAAGGTTCATGCTCAGTGGAAGTGAGCGAAGTCGTATTGTTGCAGGAGTCCTACACGACTTCAGAATTTATCTTCTATTTTCCTCGCTTCTCTTCGTTTACAAGTTCTCCGTTCAAGTCATTCAATTCTTAATGCGTCGTTTTCTTGTTCAGCAATCGCGAGGTTTTTGAACAGCATACATTTACTTTCATAAAAAAAACACAATACAATACAACGCTAGCTGACGTTTCGGCAGTATCGCCTTCTTCAGAGCCGCTTTTTTTCGTGACTTCCAATGAGGAAGTTTAGAACAGCTGATTATAGTCGCATGTGGTTGACAACTCATTCAATTCTACTGACACAGAATCGAATTAGAAGCATCTGTGATAGTGAGTAAGGCTTCGTAAACGATTTTGCTTGATAGATCATGCCACAAGATAACAAAACTCATTGATTCGCTGTTTGGCCAAAAAACCACTTTGTCCCAGTTTTTCTTCAGATCAAACGACATCACATGTTGTATCTCTTCTACGGACATAGTTTAATGGATATAGGAAAAATTGTATATCAGTATATCCTTCCAGGCTCTGAAGAAGGCGATACTGCCGAAACGTCAGCTAGTATTGTATTGTATTGTGTTTCTCTATGGAAGTAAATGTATGCTGTTTAAAAACCTCGCGATTGCTGAACAAGAAAACTACACATTCATATACCAATGCCGAGGTTAATAGAAAGTCGATCCTGGGAACTATAGGAAAGGCCTTCAACTCAATTCAGATACATAGTGTCATGGATGAGGGGCATGGCTTGGGCATCCTTTCTCAATGCATAAAGTCCCTTCCTGACCTGCATAGCAATTGACTACAATAAAGGTGAGACCTTATAAAACTATTTAGATCAGCCATCACGAAGTCGTAAGAAGCCAGAAATGGGAATAGCATGGGAATTAAAGTCCATCGTTGATGGCTACATTGTCATCGTTTTTGTGATGGTATTCTTACTAAAAGGTGAAGCGCAACCAGGACACAAAAAAGACTCAATTACTTCGCCAATGTGTGTAAGGTGATGTGACTTCGGATGAACCTTAAGAAAACGATATTCGTGGAGAACGGAGTTTCTTGATACTCTTTCGCGCTCAAGTGGACGAATATTTTTTTTACTATCCTCGTTTCATAGCTAAGAAGCAAGAAGGATACGACCAACTGCTTAGCAAGAAAGGCACAATAGTAGCTTCTCAAAAAAACCCTCCTTTAAACTTGGGGAATTTTTGTCTGCGAAGTTTGTAATAAAATCAAGGATGAAGTGAAGAGTACGAAAAACAACAGGTTCTATGTCTATCTTTTTAACAACATTTTTCTTCTTGAATTAGCGCATGTTTCAAAACTTGGCACTATGTAAGCTGTGAAATCTAAGACTTCGAAAATAGAGAAAGCAAAACATTCTGTGTACAACAGCCGGTACGCAAGAACCGTCGGCTAGTGTTTCCCTCATTTTCTCAAGCGAACAGCGGGAAACCAACGACTCGATAGTCGGGTTCTTCGAAAATCCTTGGAGTAAATGCGATATTGTTTGAGTTTTTAGAGCTACAGAGACCACAGTGCTGCTTCGGTTTAAGATAGTGCGTAATGTATGTATCCACGGAACTTGGTTGAGTCACTAGAGGAGCAAAGGGAGAACAGGTGGTAAAGATATTGCAGGCTGTCATGAGTGTACTGTACCGCACAGTTGAATTCGCTTTCTGTGTTCTCGACAACAGCATCCTCAAGAAAGTCTGCTAGACGAACGAAAAAAGATTTGTGATGGACTTAAGTTTTGTCCCTCGAATTTCGGGGTTTTCATTTTTGATAAAAAATATGAAACATGCAACAAAAAACGTAATTACTGCTTTCTTAACCAGACATTCAGCTAAATATTTATCCAGTAAGCGAGGCTAGATATGCTGCAACTCACGGTTCGGCACAGAATTGTTGACTTTTTGGTAGAAGGTGAAAAAACTTGCAATACGAGAAGAAATGAGCAGGAAAAAATAACACGGTGGTTTATGAGGTGTGTTTAGGAAAATCTCACGGTCCAACCGGGAATCTCGGTCAAAAATGGTGGTCGCTTGAGTCTAGAAAGAAGTTCCAAGAACGTGAGGCGTGCTATATTGAGCAATACGCTCGTCTGACAGGGTCCAACGACGTAAGTGTCTTTGATATTCTCACCAACAGGACATTCGCCCACCATTTGGGTCTCGCCTTCTCGCACTTTAAACTAGAATGCCCAAACCTTCATCTCAATGTTGTCAGGGAAGATATTTCGATTTAAACGCTGTCGACAAAATTGAGTAAGGCACTTCTAATTACAAACGTTTGCTAGAGCAAGTAAGCGGTGCCAATTTCTGTCACAATTCTTTGTCTTGAGATCAAAAACTGCTTTGAGACATTACGAGAATGACGAGGGAAACTCAGGCGATTCACAATACGAAAAAGTATAGGATTTTGAAATTTCAATGCCGCTTTCATATTTAACACGTGTCACTGACATACATGAATTTGAATACATTGGGTTCGACAGTAATGGCCGATTTTAGGCTCGTACCAGTTTATATCAAGGGCGAGTGTGGCGCAGTGGTCGGAGGCGGCCTGCAACACACACGTCAAATCGATCCCAACTCCCATGGCCCACCGAGCCTTCCATTTTTCGGGGACCGACAAATTGGTACCAGACTTGTCTAAGAGGTTAGCAGCACTGGCTCGGTATATCGGTAGGCCATTGCGACTTATTGTAAAGCCAGATATGCATTCAATCACCTCAAAACGATGCCTAATGAAGTCGAGTGCATGGCGTATCCCTCAGGGATTGATCAGCGCCGAGAGCTTCACCCTTTGTACTTTTACCAGTATATACTCGTTCATACTGAGTATTATTAATTTAAATACAAGCCAGCAAAGTCTTTAGATCTTTAGCAGTCAAATTTTCTTGCCGAAGTAGAATTTTGATTTCCTGAAGTGCAGCACGTCATGATATCCCCCAATACACTGCTAAAAATCGCGCTACAACCCTTGCGTTGGAAATTCTTAGAAATTTTAATTTCAACATAACTTTTCCGACCAAATTTTGGTTCCTATTCTTAAAAGTAAAGAAATAGTTGCAAAAAGCGCGTATATACCATTACTACAGGGTACAATGGTCCCTATAAGTGTACGAAATTCTCAACAACTCAACTACTCTAGTGATTGAAAAATCGTCGATTGTCGAAAAATCAGCATCGGATGTTATGTGTTAATGTTTATTCCCTTCCCATTGAAGAACTCTTTCTCATGTTAACTCAATGTCAAGGAAAAGAGATAGACAATTACATTGATCACCAACAGGACAGAACAGAAGCACTTTATTTCTCCCGAGATCAATTAACAAAAACAGATGTTCGCTGACTCTTGTTGTTGTCAGCCTAGCGATTTTCTTTAAAGTTAACCAGTTGTTGAGGAAATGATATTGTTTCATTCATCAAAAGCTGAATTAAAGTGGTGTTAAGTTGGTCCACATTATTTGGTAACTCACAGTCAGCGCAGAGGTTGATACCATCGATCAGGAAGCAAAGACGCTAGTTCGACCTCTTCCCAACGATTTCTACTTCAGTTCACGCGGAAACATCTCAGCCGGCTATCTCCAAGATTACTTACTGAATCTACTCAACCTGCATTCTACGACATTCATAAAGAAGAGGGAATTCTGAAGCAACTGTCAAAGCAACACGCGAAATGTTCAAAGACCATTTTGGACGATTAGTGCGACGAAAGCGAATCGAATGCAAGACGTACTAGCATCAACACAATAGATGTGATGACGGGTTATTTTTTAAAGAAGAGACATCAAAAAAACTCTATTTTAGAAGGATTTCTACAATTCGCTTGTCCTATGCATGCTCTATGTTCTTGTATACATCCTCCCTTGTTTTTGGTGCATGCACAAATCTTCTGTGTGAAAAAGAACACTCGTCCACTATGCAATAATAAAAGGATAAAGCTCACGGCGTTGATCAATCCCTGAGTGATGAGTTATGCGTTCGACTTCATTAAGTATCGCTGGAGGTGATCGAATGCATATCTGGCCTTTACAATCACTCTTGGTGGCGTACCGATGTGTCGAGCCAGTGCTGCCATCTTCCCAGACAAGTTTGGTTCCAATTTGCCGACCTCGGGGAGATGGAAGGCTTGTTGGTCCATGGGGGCAAGGATCGATCCCACTTGTGTGTTGCAGAACGCCTCCGACCACTGCGCCGTATGCGCTCTTATGCAGTCACACCGCCTTCAAATTTGGTGAAGTTTTATAAGTTCTGCAATAAAAACTGCTATATGCGAGTGCGTGTAGTGAGTGAGGGAGAGTGCGCTACTCCCCGGTAAGGACAATAGCGCGCGTTCGTTCCCCACCGCATACACCTGCGGTCCGGAGTTTTGCAAATATTTCAGCATTATATACGAGTTATATTTCGCAATATGCCCTGCCATTAAGAAAAGAAAAAGGCAGTAAATAAAAGGGTTGAAAAACTACTATGTTTACATTTTAATTTTCACTTCCTCTCATTCGATTGAACACGCAAAACTCTTTGTAGGTAATCAAAATTACAAAACAACGAATTACTTCTTAGAAATGATGCTCCTCACTGGATGCCGTACGAGGTCGCCGATCCAGTGACATTCTGCCCCTCTTCATTGTGTACACTTTTAATTAAAGCCGTACACTCTCCTCAGCAGCAATGGTCTCTCTCCAAAGAATAAAAATTAGTGAACATTTATTAAGAAAACATCTTCCCGCGAACGATTCCTGCCACGGCATTTGCGTAGGATGAACAATCGTTTGATTACGACAAGTATAGGAAAAAAAACTTCGGTGCGGCAAGATAAGCCACTGGAAATGAAATGACACCTATAGGTGTCATATCGGCCACTCCCTCAAAATCATCATAGCATCTATGGGTGTCGTAAGTTGCGAGAGTGTTAGAAATGATGTCCAGCTGTGATTTGAGCTGCTTGCTATGTACGAAAACATGTCTTATGTTCACGTAGTTAATCTTATCTGAACAATTTTAGATCAGAATTAGGTTTTCGCAATTTTAGCTCGTCTCTTGTCAACTTTTCGAGTACAGCAGATCCTTCTATATAATCGGCTATGAAGATCGGTTTGGTGATGACCACACCTAGTGACACAGAACACCATCGATCCACATCTTCGCTGCATTGCAAGGCGTTAAAATGGTGGTAGAATTAGGGTTTTGCGAAAAATTCTCAGTTAGTCATTTCATCAGTGCCTTTATGAAGAAGTTCAAAGAAGCTTTGCTTCTACTTTATACTTCTTGCACTTCTTGCACTCATTGCCTTAAACTCCTTGCCAATACGTCACTTTGTATTTGGTCTCCTACTTTGAAGATCCATGCGCTTTAACTTCATCTAATGATGGAATGAATCAAGAGTTTAATCAACACCTTGATCTTCTACCTTCTCATTTGCAATCATATGCTTTTCTTATTTCCATTAGCATTAAACACTCAAACGGTGCGTCTTCGCCGATATCCTCATGAAGTGGATTAAAGCCTTCTCCGCTGATAGACAAAGCTGTTAGTGTGTCTGACAACCTACAAATATCACTGTGTGATGATAAAACAACAAATAACCACCGTAACTAGTTTGTGGCTATCATTATTAGATTGGTATAAATTATTCTGTTGGAGAAACCACAAAATGAAAACATTAAAATTTGTCATTCTTGAAAATCAAATAACAAGACACCCTCAACATCCAATGTTTTTCATCAATAAGCAGACACGAGGTTGTTAATATAGAATTTATTAGAACNCAATTGCTGACGTTTCGGCGGTTTCGCCTTCTTCAGAGCCTGGAAAGGTCAAATTGAGATGTGATCTACTCAGCCAAACACTTTCATAACCCTAGCAGATAAAACTTTAAGATAAACGCAGATAAACGGTAGATAACGACACAGATAACGCAGATACGCAGAGCGCAGATAAACGCGCTTTTGAGGCGTGCGTTACGCAAGGAGGAGTGTCTTGTCATCACGCATGATCTGGCGCCATACCTCAGGCTAATCCAATGACCTGACACAGACACAGTCGTCGCCCATGTATTGCTCTGTGCGGCGGCTATCCACCAACTAGCTTAAATACTTACAACAAATAAACTGTAGGTGTTTGAATGAAGCTGTTTCTCATGCGAATGCAAATCGAATTGTCAAGTTTTATCTGCTAGGGTTGTGAAAGTGTTTGGCTGAGTAGATTGCATCTCAATTTGACCTTTCCAGGCTCTGAAGAAGGCGAAACCGCCGAAACGTCAGCAATTGTGTTCTAATAAATTCTATATTAACAACCTCGTGTCTGCTTATTGATGAAAAACATTGAATTATCAATTAATGCCGAGGTTAACAGAAAGTCGGTCTTGGGAATTACCCTCAACATCGTTTCCTCGTCGTTGTGATTCAAAAAACACAGTCGATCGTGAAGGTATGAAAACGAATCTCGATTCCACTGATACTCTCACTTTCTCTAGAAGCGACACAGCTACTGACGAGATTAATTTGCAACAGAAGACGGGGCTTTCGAGAAGTGATACCATAATAGTATGGCGATAGGAAACAATATAGCTGCAGGTGGCAGTGTCAGCTTGTCAGAATTACCTGCTTGAAATACAATCACAATGGTGCTGAAATGTTTGCAAAACTCCACACCGCAAGTATTTGCGGTGGGTACAAACGCTCTATTACCCTTTCCGGGGAGTGACGCGTTCACCACCGCACCATGCGGGTTCTTCGTTTCGCATGCCTATCGGCTAATTTTCTATCGATGAGTGCCATCAGCAATCACCCGTCAACGAGATTGATCTGGAGAGCCTATATCGGCATTGAATCCAATTAATCCGAGAACTGTAGTGCGCAGCAAATAGAAAAGTAAAATATTACCTACTTGTGTTCTAAATTACTGGACCATATACAATCTGGACTGTATGCAGAATTTAGTGACTAGCGTTTGTGCTTTCTGCACCACTTCGTTTTAATACCATCCAATCTATTAAATCTCTTATGTCAGAATTTCTTTTAGGAAGCCGAAGCTCGTGTCTCGCTCTATGAAAACATTGCTGACAACGTTGGATTGGAAGTGGCTTTTAAGGTTGTCCTACCTTAAAAATCATGCGGTATTTTTCGTCTATAAGAAGCCTTCTTTTCAATACGAAAATTCCTCTTAGGCCTGGAATGCACATGGACGTCGAACTTTTCGAAAACTGGCTGGACTTTCTCTGAATGAGCAACAATTGTTCTTTCTTGGATATGCCCAAGGCTGGTGTGCGCTGAAAAGTAACCGGCAGCGAGGGGTGCATATGTTAGAAGAAAAAAGGCAAGTCAGGCTAGGTCTATTTATATCCTAACATGGATTTCTTCGATGCCTTTTGCAAAGGGACTTTGCCATTCACACAGAAATAAGCATGATTAGATGACGAGTGTGTGCTATGGTAAAACTTGAAACCAAGGCCAGATCGAACCACGATTTTCCTTTCCGGGTGCTCGCGCATTGCACAATGCGCCACGGAGGCCCTTGCTCTGCGTTTCTCTCAACTAGTTTTCTATCTACCAGTGCCATCAGCAATCACCCGTCAACGGGATTGATCTGAGCAGCCCACATCGGTATTGAACCCAGTTATGTGTTTTATGAGTTCTTTTAGTAGTACCAAAGTTATTTTGCATAAATATTTTCTTCGTTAAGATCATTTTCGTAAACAGCGAAGGGATTGGTAAGCCATATTTGCTAGAGTAATATAGTTTGTTGAGAATGATTTTGAGAATGATTATCTTTTCGGGCTTTCGCATGAACTTGATGATCTAATGATGGAAGTTGTTACTCATTCTTAATGATAATATTTCCATTTTTAAACATTAATTCGTTACAATGTTAAATTTTTTATTTACTTCCTACTAGAATTTTTCACGGCGGTTTAATATCGGTTTATGCTCGGCAGATATTTTCCGTCGACGGGTGACTGCTGACAGCACCAACAGTGAAGAAACAGCCCAGAGAAAGGTAAAAGTAATTGCCTCGATAGGTGTGGTGGATAGCAAGTGAGCTCTGGCTTGAGGCAGTCGAGGTTTGAAGCATAATTGAGTTTCTAGGTTTTGCTCATATTTCAGCATTCTTATGGTTGTTCCTTTCTTTAATTAAAAGGAATTAGAAAGGAACAACCAAGGATTATATAGTAGTTCTAGATGACTTGCAAATTTGTGGACCTAAAGTGTAAGGTCGCGTTGAACTGCAGATCTTTCAACGTGAACTGTTTCTGGCTCTTTGTTCCACCTTCCATTCTTCCTTTAATCGGGCCCGACTTTACATTTCAGTACTTTTTTAATTTGATTCATGGCCTCGAATCCGTTATCTACAAAAGTCCTTGGATTTGAGTGTCATGTCAAATTTCACGTGAAGACCACAAATTCATTAACGCTGGTTGAGGAGATCTTAGAAGAAGTCCTAGGATTTATGCACTATGGCGTTCCCAGATCCTCACCAGATTGAAAGCAACTCTTCCCAGATAAGTCTGGCATCAATTTTTGAACTCGAGAAGAGGACAGGATTGGATGGGCCGATATGGGCTCGAACCAGTGACCACGTGCATGCTATTGCACGGCATTGTCGAACACTACGTTTTGCGAGTTCATTTAGGTCACAATTGTTCATATCTGAAAATATAAAGAAAAAGGTGTTGATTAATCTTTGGAAAGAAGAGATTTGCAAATAACAAGGCAGAATTGGAAGAGAAGAGTGCATAGAAATGGATGTGTATATAATTTAATCCTAAAATTTGTACGAAAACATCTTCAAAAATCGATATTCATTTTATAACTGCAAATATCACAGCCAATTATGTTCAGCGTATGCCGAGAACGTAGCCGAATATTCATTTGTTGTGGCCAACATTACAAGCCTGTTGCACTTTTCAGAGTCATCGGAGCTCTACAGAACTCGGCCGAATTCGCGAGTGCGTTCTCATGTCCGCTAGACTCGCCGATGAATCCGCAACGGAAGTGTGTACTCTGGTGATGACTACAATCTCTCAATTTATGCATATTTCGCTCAAGATTGATTCTTCGTTAAGCGAGAAGTTAAGCTAATCAAGAGCGATCACGTGTATGTGGCTGAACCGAAATTCTTTTAATCGTTTTCTGTTTGAAGGCTCGACAGTGACCTATCCGTCTTTATAACTATGGTCTCTATATTGTAATATAAAATGCTTTGTGGCATTCACACGATAGCATGGTTCTACCCTATCTCAGTCTCTAATCATCCTCCTCATCCTTAATCAATCATCATCCTCTGATCTCCCACCCACGATTTTCCCTCTCTGAACCCCTTTTTCCACAGAAGTGCATGGTTTGCCGATGGTCAGATCATCTATGCCATCCGTTTTCTGCTGAAAGAGCTTTTTAACGTTGTTAATTTGTGCATAAAGTTCATTGAGAGAAATATGCCGATTCAATGCTTGTCCTTTTTCCAGTGCAGAGCGTTACATTAAGCCACTACTGGTTTTTCGCTAATTGTTTTAGTACCTTCTAGCACTTTTTAGTGTTTTTCTAACACTTCTTCATAAGAGAAATTTGTTCGAAGCATGGATATTATTAGAGAAAAGAAAATAACGTTGAAATTAATGTTCTAATTTACGTAATGTAAACTACCACGAATGCCGAGCTAGAAAAATATTAACTGAGAGATTCTGCTCAAATTCGGAGATTGTTGTGTTCCTGTTTCCCTGATGAGCACACAACATTTTTATTGCACTGCTTATCAATATGTTCTTATCTTCAACGTTTAATAGCTTCGACGTCTCCGAATTTCTAAGAGCCGATGTTCCAAGTTGATGTTCCACACTTGTTCGCCTTCTCGATGTGGCGTCATCGTCTTTGTATCGAGTCGGATCTTCCTCAGTGAAGCACCGCACGAATGAGGCAGCCTTACACAGCGGAGCTCATTTATACAATACCGCTACTGACTGATTGTCGATTGACAGTGATTTCTTCTCACATAGACAATCTATTCTGTAACAGTAGGCAGTATAACAGTTGGCACATAGAGAAATAATTTTATTATACGATCCGTTTTCATGTCTACTATACGGATTCCAGTACTTCTCAGATTCGATCCGCTTCCTCGCATCCATCAGTCAAGAAGACTTGGGTTGTTGCTTGAGGATTTTCCTTTTATCGTAGATGTCGTTGAATACTGGTCAAATTTATTCTTCTTGGAGTCATGAGATAGCTAGACTGAAGCGTTCCAAATTGGACTTCAGAGAGTGGTGTTTTTCCAGACAAGCCAACTACCAATATTCTAAAGAAATAATACTGTTAGTAAACCAACTGACTTTCATTTAATCTCGGCCTTGATAACCAGTATTTCTCTTTTAATTTTAATATATCTTTTACAGGTGTTATCTTGTGCATTTTCGCTTTTCTGACAGTGTATAATCGCTTTGAAAGGACGGCCGCGATTGAAGAACTCACAGATCATCATTTCAAAATGAGAAATTCTTCCTAACGGACTTTTCATACAAAGCCGATTGTAGGAAATGCTTGAAAGCCGCATATCCTTCGCTTTTTCTTAAAACATCGGCGGACGACCACTTAATGTTAACTTTTACGACACAACACAACGAGAACGAAAAATGAGTTGTTTTCGTTGTGTAGCGGAAACAGGCACCACAAGGTCTCTTTAATCCACGTTTAATTAGTTTCACCCAGTTGGTTAATTAGTTCTTCTATTATCTCTAGAGTGGTTTTGAGGGTCGGCTTCGACTAACGGCTTCAGACTATCATCATGAACTGCGTTCATGATTTTCTTCTTCACCAAGATTCATATCTCTGAAGGGAAACTTTCGCGCCACTTGTAGCATATGCACTCTTGCCTTCGGAGGCATTGCTTAAATTCGGTTCCGGGTCACTTCTATATCAGTACGTCCACATTTAAACTCAGAACAAGACGATAAAGATTTCTTTCATTGAAAACTTAATTATTCTGTAATTATTGAGAAATAGGCTTGAAAAAAATCAAAAGATGCAAAACATGGAGGATCTCCGTGCGACAAAAAGTACTGTTTAAATCAACAACATCAAGCGCTGACATCTATCTTTTGTTTTATTATATTTGACACGGCCTCTACTCAAGTCTTGTATCTGTAACCATGGCTTGTTGCAACCGATTCGTTTTCTCGCATCCACCATCAACGAAGGTCCTCGAAAATTTTGCGGTTACTTTGGCCGCTGTTTGAAGATCCCTTTTTCGCGATGAATGTCGTTGAATTCTGGTCGAGTCCATTCTCCTAGGAGTCCAGGAAAAGCCGGGCTAGAGTGTTCCAATTTTAGCTGCAGAAAATGGATTATTCTCAGATAAGTTTTATTCCAATTTCACGAGTTCAGATGGATGAGAGGCATGAGGAACCCGCTTGGGAAGGTGTCAAGCCGGCATTCATTACAACGTACATTTGTAAAATTCGTGATGACAAATACTGTAAAATATTTTCTGACACCAGTCTAGCAGAGTGCTAGACTTATTTCGAACACTCTCTTACCTTTTCTCCTTCCTGTCATGTTGATTGCTAGTTGAGCTAATCGAATATTCCTAGAATCCTGAAATGGCATTGCCAGGACGTTTCCATGCAATCGCCGATTCAAGTGCTTAACAAAAAGTTTGCGATCGAATAGGATTTACGCAGAAAAATGGCTATCCATGCGGTCGAGGAGACGCACAGCAGTACAGTAAAGTAGTAACCAATGTATAACTGGTGCGTGACATAACATGATAGGATAAAAAGACTAAGGATAAAGCCTTCGGCGTTAATCAATGTCTGAGGGATGCGCAATGTATTCAGTTTCATTAAACATCGTTTAAATCATTAAATGCATTCAGGTCTACGGGCGGTGGCTTGCCATTATATTAAGTCTAGTGGCGGTGGCTTGCCAGTGTATTAACTCAGTGTACATCAGCATTCTTATCCTCCCTGACACGTCTTGTACCAATTGCCGACCGAGAAGGGCTGGATGGTTTGACCAATGTTCTTGGATTGCTAGTACAAGCTTGACGGTTGTGGTTGATGAGCGCAATTCAGTGAGGGTGTTTACTAATTGACTGCTGCCATAAATGAAACTAATTTACCAAAGGTTGAAAGCTTGTGTTCATTTCTGCTCTTGTTATTCTTTCACGTGATCGTCTTAGAGATTCTTACTAACGCGACCGCATTATTTTGTTTAGTTTCATCCGAAAGCTCTAACAACTGCGGTGAAGTTGTCGTTGCATTTTTTTGGTTCACTATTGGAGATTCTTCATTAAAACTGTGAAGAAATACTTTTCTATCAAGCTTTCACGATCCAGACTGCTGCTATGCTTCTAGAATCCTATAAAAAAGCAGTGAAAAACTAAGCAGAAAAGAATTCTACGCAACAAATTGGACGATACCCATGATTCTCCAACTGTGGGTTGCAGTTTGCATTCGCTGCAAATGACACCGGTAGCCTACTGCAATAAAATCATCATAAATTACCATATTTTCGGGCGTCAAAGCACTCATGTGGAGGGGAATCTACTCACGATGCCGCTGACTCTCTCCTGGATCCCTTTTTATCCTGCTACATACCAAAATACACAGCTAAAAAAATGATTAATGATGCAGGGTCCATTCTTCAAACTTATTTTTTAATTGTCACTCGGTTAAGCACTCCGTTAATAGTCAGAATATGAAACCTTAAAGCTTCTATAGCTCACGAGGGATTTTTTTTACAGCAGCTAGTTTGTTGACAATTTCCGCAACAAATGCTTGTCGAAAAGTTTGGAAAGTTAGAGCAGATAGATAAGAGCTCAGGAAATTGCAGTAGATAGGGTAGAATTCCTTCAGCTCAATTGGTTCAATTTCTAAAGGGTTTGTTGCGAGAGAGAGGAATGCCTGTAGTGCAAAGTGACCTAGCCTATTCCACAACACCGAGAACACAACAAACCTACCAATTTGTGGTGGAGTTTGTTATACTGTTGATAATTGTTTTCTAAAGTGGATTTTTTCTCGAATTCAGAAAGATGCAGTGGAATGCTCTTGCCGAAGGCATCTATACAGCTACAGTACCTTTGTAAATAGACTTTTCCCTTCACAAAGTGTTTTGAAACTTGACGGTGACTGTGTTCGTAGAGGATCAAGATTTCGTTGCCTCTCACGACAACGAGTAGCAAATCATTTTTGTTGCGCAAAAGAGAAAGTGCACATTATTAGTTTTTTTCTTGCTGCATAATACAATTTTTCATGGCAGAGTATTATGCGAAATGGGAGCAAAATGATGCTGAGATATTTGCAGAAATCCGGGATGGTAGGTGTCTGCGAGTTGAACTGAACACGTTATTACTTTTTCCGTGGGTCAACTCTTCCACCACCGCACCTTGCGGGTCCTACCTTTTCCGTCTTTCGGCTAGTTTTCTATCTGCCAGTGCCATCAGCAATCGCCAGTCAGCGAGATTGATCTGGGAAGCACAAATCGCATTAAACACAATTAAGCTGAAACCACAGTTGAGATCATAATGTTAACCCTTTATTTGCTTTCTACTATAATTTTTCAAGGCAAACTATTATGTGAAATACAACTATAATAGTGATGAGTTATTTGGAAAACTCGGGTCGCAGGGTCTGGAGCTATTTTTATCTGGGAGGAAGAACAGTTCGGGTGCTTGTTTTGCTTTTATCAATGCTCGTACTTCTGGAGAAAAAATTTCCGAACTACCTGCATTCATGTATTTTGTATTTTGTATATTGAACGGCTACAGTTGCGCATACCCTCATGATGTTTTCAGATATTTCTGTTGAAGTTTGCTCAAGTTTGAATCCATACGTTAGAATAACATAAATTCCGTTTGAGAGTACTATTTCGCCTTGAATAACGTTATCGCTCAAAATGGAAATGTGCCGCAAATTCTGGCTATTAGTTAAGCGACAAATTACCCATTTCATTTGTCCTCTCATTACACATAGAATAACTCAAGCGTGCGTCAGTCAATTCTCAATTTGCCGTTGTAGA